ATAATTACTTGATGTTTTTAAAGAGAAAAAATAAAGTTAAAATTAATTAGATAAGTGTTAATTACAAATCATGATAAAAGATAAAAAAATTAAAAAGGATAAATTTGTTAATAAAATTAAAAAAATTATAATTTACTTGTGATTTGATATAAAATGCTATTTAAGATAATTTTTTCAATCTGTTAAAGATTTAATTCCAATTCTCTATTTATTAGTCATAAGTTGCTAAATAAAAAATTTTATTAAATATTTTATTTTAAAATAAACATCATTATCGAACATCTATCCTATAATGATTTGAGTAAATACGTTGCGCGCTCCCTCCAAGCGATTATGTCCAACGGGCTCTAAGTTAAACAAATCTTTTTAAAAAAGAAAATTCTTAAATTGTGTTTAAAGCCATTCAATTATGATCTTGAGGAGTTTTACCATCAATAAATATTCATCTTTTTAAAGTTACTAGTAGTCTTTTTTTTGTTTTTTTAGGGTTAAGTACCATTTTGGTCCCTTAACTTTTGATTTTGGCACCAAAATTGTTCCTCACCTTTAAAAAGTACCAAAATTATCCTAAGACTTTCATTTATGGTACCACAATGGTCCTTCCGTTAGTTAAATGATAGGTGGCACGTTAAAATGTCAGCAAATCAATCCTTTTTTTTTTTCTTAATCAATGACATGGAAAAAAAACATATTTTTTTTATGATTGACATTTTTAATTAATTTAAAAATAATTATATCTTTTTCTTTTATCCACGTCAGAAAATAAAACATCTTCCCAGATCATTTTTTAGATTTCATCATCTTCACTGATCACCTCCAAACAACCACTCCCTCAACTCAAAACCACAGAAAACCTCTTGTGTTTCTTCTGTGACAGCCAGACAAAAGGGATAAAATGTCAAAAATTTCCAACTTGTGCTCTCGGTGATTTCTGCAGAAATAGCAACGGAAGAGATGGGAGAGCAAAAGGGCGATTTCTAGCATACTTTAGGTGAGATTTAGGCGACTAAGGGAGGGCTTTGCTATTTTGCTGTGGTAAGGTAGAAGAGTAGAGGAAGGAGGTCGACATTTGTACGAAAAAACTACAGATCTGCATTTGTTTGCTTCTTAGGTATAAATCTTAGACGGGAAACAGTTAAGAGAGAACTTCCCATGGGTGGGGTATTTCTGATATGCTTCCCTTGATTTTAGGTTGATTTTTTTTTTTTTTTTTTAAAGTTTGATGCCTATTATGGATGAAACATGAATATTTGGGTTTGAGAAAAACTTAGATCTGGGTTTGAGAGAGGAAGAAGAAGGGTTCTCTCAACCCAGCTTCAACACCAGCTG